CCCTAAAAATGATCGATCGAATGAACGAACGATCCTTTCTTTTGCGAATGCACGTGTGCAACAGCCAACGCGTATAATCCTTAATTGGTAATGGTAATTCTTCTTTATCTTTTTCATTTTGACGTAATCATAATAACATTTTTCGATGATTCGTTAGAAATAATTCATTAATCTGTTGCCCTTTAAAAATAATCGTCTAAAAACATGTGTAAAAAACATATACGAAATAAGAAGAAACAAAATCAAAGCGATCGAATGATTATTGTTCGAGTTACAACTGCAGCCAATTTGAAAAATGTAGTACTGAGAAAAACGCGTCCAAAGATAAAATGATTGTTTTCTAATCCCTGAGCGGGGCTACTCTTGAAAACACTATAACTCTATAACTATTTGAAATATTTATTCGAAATTTCAGTATGTTATTTTTAAAGATATAAACTATGAAAATATGCACACAAAATAAATCGATTTTCTCAAAATTTCACACACTAGTGTGCCCCTTAATAAAAGTCATAACTTTGTAAAAAAAGAAGAACAATTTTGCGGGGTGTTGAGGGTGTTAAATAAATTGTGAGCTCTCGATGCAACCCTTTCGCGAGTAAAACGACTCTCGCAATAAGAAAAAAAAGATTGTCTCTCTCCCTCTTTCTTTCACCTTCCATGGGTTCTTCCTTTGCGCAAGCAACGGTCGCTATGGAAACGGAAGATCAAGCGAGTACAAGGGATGGGGCTGGGGGGTTGTAGGTGGCTTGATTTCTTCTTCGTGATAATGGTCGCCATTATCGCACTATCCAATCGTATTCAACTTCTCTGTCCCCTCCTACAATTCTTTTCTTTCCTTATTACTTATTATATCCAAAAAGTGAAAAGGAATATCCTTCTTCTTTCTTGAAAAACAATCACTTATTATAATACAATGGCGTGTCAAGGCTTTCATTGGAAAATTAATATTTTGCTCTATTTTCTTCTTTTATCTAATTTAGACATTTTTCCTAATATTTCCAACAGAGAGAACAAAAAATCACTATTTCGAATTATTATCAATTAAATAATAAATAGACTTATATATATAAAATATATATATTAAATATTTAATTAAAATGGAATTACAAAATTAAAATGGATACGTAAAATAGTATCTACGCTACTTTACTTTGTATATAAATATATAGTATTTACAAGATAAAATCGGAAAGGTAAGAATTTTCAAATAAATGCCGAGAGTGTGCTGGACAAGTACGAGCAAAGAGTATTCTTTTTCCATGATTTCGTCTCATCACTATTCACACGATTTTCTAAGGGCTATGTACAAGTACTACGTATAACCCCTATAGCGGACGATCTTTCTAGACTACGAGTCGTAGGAGAAACGTGATCTCAAGATAAGCGATAGAGGGTGGGTGTTGCATACATACGAGTAAGAAGCGTTTCCTCAAAAATTGATGCGCGGTCTGGCTCGCAGCCACGAAAACTAGATACCGTATCCAGATGCCGCATCTCGTATTCATGGTTGGACCGAAAAAGTGGACTGAGAATAAGGAATACAGTTGAGAAGCCAACACGAATTCACCTTCCCCCCTTTGATTATTATATATATATATATATATATATATATATATATAATATATCGATACTTCGAAGCAGATTGCCAAAATGATATACATATAACAATGTTATCGAGTATTGTGGGCCACCTTGCAGGATGGTTAAAATACCACAAAGCCTTCCCCAAATGTCAGGATTAATATTTTATTTAGAGTTCTTCTGGTATAACCCAATGTTAGAAGCAACGTTCGAACGTTTCTATGCTTATTACCGCTTATTGTTATCGAGGCCGATGGAACTATTGAAATATTAAAATCCGTTTTACCGTTCTTTCTAAGCATTCATTCATTCATTCGAGAATGTTTTTATAGAGAGGAACGAATTTCTTTTCTATCGACGAATCAATAACAAAAGTATTCCCGATGGAAGTTCTTTTGTTTTTCATATTTTTCATATTTTCCTCATGATATTTTTCATATAATCGAGGAAGAAGAGTTTCTTCGTTCGTTCGATTGAACGAATTAACGAACGAACGAAGATCGTAATCGGAAAATAATGACGGGGCTGGCACGTTCTTTCATCTTTCGTGCTAACTCAGTAGGTGTAGCTATCCCGAGCACGGTAAAGCACCTGTCTGTAGTACTCGAGTTGTATTATCCGTACAGGTGCCTCCTTAACGTACCTGGTGAATGGCCTGTCTCTCCTCTTACTACTAGTTTATATGTGTAGGAAAAAGATTCGGTTGGTTGGTTGGTTGGTTGGTTGGTTGCACAAAGTTCGCATCGATGACCTTTATGAATACTGAGGAACACGTGCTGCCAACGATAGACACGCGATTGCCGGATTGACAGAAAATGATCCTACCGAATTAATGAGTCATGTCGACGATACTACAATACGTTTGTAATTTCGTAGAATAATTCAGAATTAATGTACGACCGATTCTTGACCCCACGCGAAATATCCAACTCTCGTCCGAAGCAATTAGAAAAATCGATATATCTGTCTAGATAATAAAAATTCTTTCTTTCTTTTAACAAAAAAAAAAAAAAAATAATCAAATTAACTTAATTAGAAATATCGTTCATAATCCACGATCTAAGATGTAATTTTTTTTTGGTATGATTTTAGTANAAAAAAAAAAAAAAAATAATCAAATTAACTTAATTAGAAATATCGTTCATAATCCACGATCTAAGATGTAATTTTTTTTTGGTATGATTTTAGTAATTAATAAAATTGTTTTGTTTGATGTGTAGTTTTTTGAATATTACATGAATGTATGTCTGCTCAAATGAAAAAGACGCTGAACTTTAGGATGCGAAACGTCCAATTAATCAAAACTAAGTTCTAGTTCTTTTGAATGTCCAATTTCCCTACAATACTTATTTATTAAAAATTAAAAACGTTTATATATAACGCGTTGTATTTGTTTGTTCCGAGATATCAGATTAATTTGGTTTAAATGACGGATACGTAGCAATAAATCGTCTCACTTCGTAACTGACCAAAAACCGATACTTGAGTCCGAACGGACGGACGGACACACGAATGGTCGAATCGAATCGGTGAACGGAGGAGCGAGAAAAAAGGGGCATGTGCAAGTCGCAACTGTTTTATGGCTCTCCAGAGAGGGGTGCCCCGTTCCTTTCGCATTTATTTGCGATCGTATCTCAACAAAGTACGTTGCGATATTTCAACATTTGCGCGTACCGAGTTCGCGTACTCGATACGCGACCAACCATTATTCATTTCTTCTTTTCGATGAACGATCACAATTTACCTTCTTAAATTGACAATGATCAAAATTACCTTGATACGAACGAGAATGGCAATAGGCCGAGGGAATCTACTACACATGTCAAGAAAAATATTTGTAGTCGTCTTGTTCGCGTTTGGAAACAACGATCTTCGTTGATATTCATTACGACGATTCTCCCAACGTTTCTCAGCATTAACCCCATGAATTATACAAGACGATTTAATCATTCATTCTTTTTTTTTCTTTTTTCTTTTGTTTTCTTTTGTTTCGTGTCCTCTTTCATCGAAGTGCTCGGGGCGTTATTACACTTGCGTTTAATGTGCACCAGAAAAAAGAAAAAGAAAAAGAAAAAGAAAAAAAAGAAAAAGAAAAAAAAGAAAAACGTCGGTCGCGAACTATAATTAGATAGATATACTACTACGCGCGAGGTCGTCGTTCATATTTAATGTAAACGTGTGCCAGTTTCTAAAGACAGCAGTCCTTCGTTCAATAATGAAACGATCTTTCGCATCAAGGATGTTATACATTGTTCGCGTCACCTTATTTTTTTCCTTTAGCATAGTTAACTAACTAAATGGAAAGACATAAGGTGTCTTTCTTTATCTATTTTATTCTATATCTTATATATTTATCTGTGGCGTCCATTTGCGAGAGCTAAGAAACATCTTCTATCCATTGATGTGTCCAATGTCTTAGCCGAAAAAGACACATGGAAAAGCGGAAAGGTGGGATTATCTGAATACTGTCGTTCCGGGACTGAGTTGCGGCACCCAAGGGTGTAATAGGCGGCCACCCTTAGGGTCGGTCACCGGTGCTACTCTAACGTATGGTGGTCATCTTCTCACCGAATTACCACCATCTTCTTTTTCCGAGAACCGATGGACGGTCTCTCCCTTAAAAGGGTCCGTCAAATAGATTATTTGAATATCAACCGATCGAACGACGAGAAACAAGGAGCAGTGGGCGACCGCTATCGTTCCTTTTTCTTTACTTCAATTGTATTCGTAGAAAATATGAACAATTATTTAACATAATTCTCATTTTGTCGAGTGTTCAAATATAACGGATCAAGAGATAACGAAGATTAGATGTATAGTGTTTTGAATATTACAAAAAATGCATGTCTGCTTAAATAAAAAAGACGCTGAACTTTAGAGATTAAGTTGCTGACTAAGTCCCAATAAACGTCCAATTAATCAAAACTCAGTTCTAGTTCTTTTTAATGTCCAAATTCCCTAAAATACCCCTATTTATTAATAATTCTTATTATTTTGTTATCCGTATAACTTAATCAATCCAGCCAAGATAAGTAAATGGAAACAACGGTTTAAAAGGAGTCCAGTTAGTGCAGATTTCGTGTAAACCGAATTTCGCGAGATCGACGACGAACCAATGACGAATCAATTCTCGAGATTTAAAAGGAAGGAAAAAGAAATAAGCTTGGGTGGGAAGGAGCTTTCTTTTCTAAAATCACGTTTTACTCGTCCCCGAGTTAACTCATAAATACTGATGCGCACGTGACTGTCGCGCGAATCCTTTTCAAACGGGAAACCGTCAATTTGAAAGGGGGCTCCCCTGGTTCGGTGGGGTGGGGGATGGGGAGGGGGGTTGGTTGAAACGAAAAGTTTCTTCGTCGTGGAGTTTTAACGAAACTCGTTGCACTAACGAGTGCCCGTTGCACTTTTTGTTACAGCCAGCGATGCGCTCGGCCGAATCGATAAGGAGCCAGCCTCGCCGGAATCCATACAAGGTGAGTTTATACCAAGAGTTTTCTCATCGTCCGTCTGTCGTGTTCCTTTCCTTCTCGATAAGATTAACGTACGAAATGCGTTTAACCATCGGAATAGTTGGAACATCAATTTTCCAAACGAATAATGTGTGCTTTACCTCGCCTCGCCAATCATTTTTTTTCTTACCTTTTATTTTGATTTTCAAATCAATCACGACACAAGAACAATTTTCGATTAACTTTTTCACACATACGCATGTACAATTCGAATTGAAAAAGGAACAAACGTAAAAGTTAAACGATTATTTCAATGAACTACTATTTCCTAATTTATGCGTTTGCTATCGATTGGTGATCATATTCATGAACGAACACTGCCGTCCTACATTTTTTCTTGTTTCTATCATTTCGTAAATATAACAATTTCTTCGTGATCATTCAAATTTCAGGATTACTAGAGTAATTCTTTTCCACGTAAATTATATCATAAAGAGAATTACTACATTGAGCGAGTACCGGGCCGTTAGACTTCTTCGAGCTATTGTCATTTACCTCGAAGAATTTTTTCGCGGCGTATAACCGATCCCCTCCCCCCGCACCACCGTTTTAACATTGGACATTATTATCCTGATCGCTCACGGCAAGCAAAAGTTTGAGAAGGGTCGGTCGGTCAAATTCCTTTCAATTTTTGTCAGTATCGTAAAAACTGTGTTCTCTCGGATTTCGTGAAAATTCATTCCCATCTTTTCGTCCATTATCATCTTTACACTATTATCTTTTTCTTCGGACACATAATTGACATAACTCCCCCACCCTCCCTGACTATTCGTGGAATTAACTTCTTCTAAACTCCCTTACAAAACGATCAATTTAAATAACAAAAATACATACATATGTATATGCGATGCTACGAATCGGCAATCGATCGTTACGATCGTACAATTTCATAAAAAAAAGGGGGGGGGCGCAAATTTGACGAAGGAAAAAAAAAAGAAGAAGAGTTTAACGCAAGTAATAAAAAAGAAGATTTTCATCGGGGCAGGAGGGGAGGACTCTGGGAAAGTCTGAGAACCGGTCGTAAGCAGGGTATTCCTTCTCATCGTTTCTTTTCTTAATTCTTCTAACTTGCTAGGTATCTGCCTACGACGAAACGAACGAGACAAATGGAGAAACAAGAAAGTAATCAGCGTGCTCGAAAAGGCGCGTCGGTGGGGTGATGATGACGGTAACGGCGCCGCAACGTTGAGGGGCTATGGGAAAAAAGAGAGAAAGAGAGGGAAGTAGAAGGTAGAAGAGATCATCTTGAACCTGTGTTTTACTTTATAGCATTTAGTCCGTTGTTTGTCTTATTGCTATTAGCCTCGGCCAATTAGTAATTTTATTTTTAATGTGGATTCCATGAATCGAGCTTGTGCTATGAACGCGCATACGAGAAAGAGAGAAAGAGAGAGATAGAGAGAGAGATAGAGAGAGAGAGTGCAAGCGAGGCCAAGCGAAAACGTTCACAGAAGAGAGACAAGAGGAGTTGAAAGAAGTGTATAAGAGAGGAGGGAGATTAGGAGAACGGAGTTGGGGGCACGCAATACGCAGGATCCTCTGAAAGAGGGGGGCTGGGTGGGGGGTATGTCATTAGGAGTCATTAATATCACGGACCTCTGTAATTTGACACACTTCCGATCGCCTAGCGCCATCTCCGTTGCCACCCGCTCCATTTTTTTTTCTTCTTCGCTGGACCCCCCGCCCATTCTTTTTTTTCTCTTTCCTTTTTCGCGAATAAGAACGTCAAGAGCTTGCTGAAACCATCGTGAACGTTGTGTTGTGTTCTGCGATATTTCGTGTCATTTCGAATGGACCGACAGGGATTCTCAACCATTTGTTCTTTCAAAAAATTACCGTCTATACTTCTTTTTTTATACTTTATTTTTTATTCTATATTCTGCGTTTTGGGGTTTCTCATTGTTGCATAATCATGTTTAAGCGAACATTCGACGCTTTTGCTAAATTAGTTTACCCATTTAATTGGTTAAAGTAATTATTACCAAAAGAAATTCTATATTCGTTTTATCGGTTATCCAGTTTCTTACATCAGATCATTTTCTTTTACTATAATTAAGAAGGAAAAATACTAAGAAGATAGTACCGCATATGGGTAACGATAGCTACTCGATCTTAGTAAATCAAAGTTGAATCGAATCAACTCGTTGCAAAATCTCACGCTCTTAGTGAGTCAACTTATTGCAACGGATGCAGCCAAGATCGATATGATTTGCGGATGCTAATCGAATTGCTAATACTTTATTCCTCGATCGTACAGGCACACCTGTACGACCTATATGGTCACTACAAAGATTCCTTTAACGCGAACTTCATGGAAGTCTTATGTTGTGCCGTTTGAAACGAGCACGTCTCTCTCTCATCATACTTTATAATATATTGACAACGGCACCCTATTTCTAACAATAATCAATGTGTCACATAATAATAATAATTAAAAATCGATTAGAGAATCGGTTAAACAAAAACACAAACCTTTGCTGATTGGTATCTTCGATTTTGATGAAATACACGCACGCATGAATAATCCGTAAATTTTAACTTACCTTTTTTTTTAACACATTACCGTTCACCACCTGTCGATCGTTATCCATTGAAATCGATATCATTATCTAGCACGTCGAACGCGATAATTTAATATCGTGAATTCCTATTCTTTCCAGTATACGTAAACTGCTTTCACTGGCAAGTAACGTTACTATAATGTCGAGAGAATTGAACGATAAGATCGTTGATAAAATTATTGATCGCAAATTAGCCTTTCGTATAAGGAAATTCAGTCAATTTCCATAGTAATCAAATGAAACAATTATTCATTTGAAAGCAATCGAATGAAATCATGAACGGAATAAAAAAAAGGAATTATCACATTTTTTAGGAATGATTTTTCCTTCAATCGGGGCTTTTGTAGAAAGACATTTAAAATAAAATCAAATGATTGAATTAGAAAATAAGAAAAATCCTGACGACTTGTCAGCTTAGATGCGAAACGATCGCTTTCACTTAGAATGCAAACGATCTTTATGATAAAGTCGCAAAAAAATCGGTTTGCCTGTAAAAGGTTGCAAAACGATAATACATCTTTCTGGTGACATTGTTATTCAAATTTAGGAAAAAGGTGTGAGAACTAGAGACGCGGTGGTGACCGATGGAAAACCGCTTTTGAATACCCAAGTGCTTTCGAACCCTCATACGGAAACCGAACTTCACGCTTCGAGACTTTTGTCACGTCCGGTTTACGAATTACGATAAAAAGCGTGAAAACTTGTATTTTATAATGAACATTAATTATTGACGAATCTCTTACAGAAAAAAATCTTCTTATTAAAATGATTATAATGATTTATTATTATTTCTTTTGCTCGCGAAAAAAAAAAAAAGTGAAAACTCCTTTAGAGTTTTATCAAATATTTTCAGTATAAAGTGGTCACTTTGTTATTCGAATCGAGGGTGACGATGCGAACTTCTCTCCTGAATGTTAAAAAGTCGTCGCTCAATCCCGATGCTTACGGTTTCACGTAACCTTCTCTATCCGTTTTTCAATTCATGCCTCGGGAACGAACAGGAAACGAAAGCAAATTCAAATTTCGGAATAAAGCTTTTTCAGGGATTTTTAAGCATAGTTGTGTATGGTTATCTTCTGTAAAATATCTTTTAAAGGGAAAAAGATGCTTGATCTGTTTCGTAATCGAAATTCAATTGAAAAAAAAGAAACACAAAAGAAGAAAAAAAGAAAAACGGAAAGAAATTAGGCTCTTCTCGTTTAATTATAATCGTCAAATAAAAATGATTTAAGAAGAGGGAATAACAAAAAAATGCAAGCAAGAAAGAAAGAAAGAAATTAACTCGTGAGAAGAACTACGAATGAAAGAAATACCTCTTCTCTATTATAAGAAGTAGAATAAAGAAAAAGGAAGGAAGATATTCATGAAAATGGCAGAACGATCGACGAGTGGGTGACGACGTCATTGTTACTCGCTCCATAAAAGACTAGCAATTAGCAATTAAACCAATAACTCTGCAATTGGTGATTCCATTAATGGGACTTCAACGTTCCCACAGAGGACGAACGTTTTTCATTGTTTTTCTTACTGATCTCCCGTTACCACCACCAAGTCCTACAATTACTCGATAAACGTGTATAATATAAGAATTGAACTTTTTCTTTTTCATTGATATCGCTTATTTTTCTTTATCAATTATCGTATGCTCATTTTTATTCGTAATTACTTATTAAATTAATAGAATTAATAAAATAAATATAAATATTCGTACGGACGTTGAAAATTTCAAACGGAGTTAGTAAAAATTTCATTGGTCAATAAAATCGATTGACCCTTCTTTTTTTTCTTTAACCATAGAGCAAGAAAGGGAAGGTATGGAAAGAGGAAGGAAAAAATACCAACTCGAATCTTGCCACTCATCAGCCTGTTGCAGAGTTACTCCCTTAGAATCGGACTTGGTGGTCACATAAAAAAAAAAAAAGTTGGAGGGTTGCACCCCTTAAGAGATAGCATGTATACGTAATACACGAACACTCGGTACAATTGCGTGCTGTCGAAGAACACGACGGTAATTGATTATAATAAGGCGACGAGGAATGAAGGAAGGAAGGAAGGAAGGAAGGAAGGAAGGAAGGAAGGAAGGAAGGAAGGAAGGAAGGAAGGAAGAAAGGAAGGAAAGGGAAGAATGAAACAACGAAAAAAAGGTAACGACGAAGGGTGAACAACTAATCGATCTTATCAACAAGGTTGCTAAATATAATATAATAGCATTTTAATTAACATTTAATCAATACATCTTACTTTTTTAATTTTAAATTTGATCTCTTTTATTTAATGAACAAAAAATAAATATATTTTCTATCGTAAAAGGAAATACACACCTCCGTAATTTCGAAAAAATAAAATAACAAAATGTATCTCCATCACTCAAGAAGATTATCTATATTAAACAATAAAAGACAA